CAGTTAAAAGTCAACTCAATTTAACTCATTTGTCAAGCACAAGACACAAGTGTCACATCCGGAACGACAATATGAAAGAAAGACTAACAACAAGGACGTGGAAACCAAAAACATATAAAAAATGGGTGTTCATAGAGTTCGGCAAAAACATCATGGTTTCAAATACCACTTATACAGCGCTTTGGCACGGGAGAGGGGATTGAGAGGGAGGAGGAGGGGAAGGGGACATATACATCTGTTTTGCGACAGCGGCAAAATTTGTCACGAAGTGCGGATGCCTGGTGTTTTTGAAGCCTATAATTCAGTGCAGGGTTTGGAAAATCGCGTCAAGCTGCATCTCAGTAACATCGATAGCTGGTACCATTATCACAGGCAAAGATGAAAAATACTATTTACCACAGCATCAAGTGTTGCAGACGAAACGATTATTCGAAGATCTTGCCGTACAGCCATCACTTTCCGCAACAAACCCAGTATAACATCCGTATTGAGTGAGCGCTCGTGAGCCTCGTCAATCATCAGTATGCTGCAAAACGTGCCTAATGCAATGTTAGACTTCTCGCAAATTGCTTGATTTCAAAGCAACTGTTGAAAAAAATTGGCAAAATCGGTTTTTAATTGAAACCAAAAAAAAAGAAAGGTTTAAAAAAAAAATCTACAAAAATTTAGCTTTGGGGGCGTGCAAAGCGAAGTTCATTAGAATTCAGCAGAATTAAATAAAAGAGCTCTGTAAACTGAAGAAAAAAGAAAATGCACAACGACAATACCTGTACTGCGTCAGCAAAGGATCCGACATGAATTCACGAAGAAGAATGCCATCTGTAAGATACTGAAATGATAACAACAGATAAGCTATGGATGAACATAAGTTTATTTACGGCAGTTTTGAGATTATGTCCACAGATACACTAAAAAAGAACTTTTTCGATAAATTTCTTAAAAAAAACAACAGATAAATTCACTGTTTGAAAATAGCAGAAAAGCTACCTTTATTTTGGTGGCCGAATCAGTCAAATCATCAAAACGGACCACGTAACCAACGTCTTCACCAAGTTTACAGGACTTCTCCTCGGCAACTCGCTCAGCTAACTGCAAAACAGACATGCAGAGCAGTAACCGATGAATAAAAGTAAGCAAGAAAAAGGGGAATGTTGAAGCTAATAGACGAGAAGTCGACAGTGCAACTGTTTGAATATGTATTACCGCATAAAACCTATCGAAACTAAAATATGTGAAAAATCCAAAAATTTTGATCTAAAAATAACAAATGTATATAAATGCGAGCGTGTAGACGCTGTCAGAAAAATACATGTAAAGAAGCCGGCAATGCTAATGCACTATGTCGATTTGAGTGCTAAAGCACGTGAAGTGCGCGCTGTTAACGCGCCAGTGGCAGATTTCACTGTGAAAAGACTGTCAAAGTCAGTAAATGAGAGGAAGCCAACACAGTGTGTCATAACACTATTAACGAAACTAAAGGATGCAGATCTGAAAACAGCTTATAAAATCAGCATATACTAAGCTGATTATCGCATAACTGTAGCATGAAAGTAATATGAAGAACTTAAAAAAGAAGGCAAGAATAGAACGAACTGTGTAATGCAAGACGTAGAAATATTGCTGGTACAGGAAAAATAAGTACGAAAGAGTTAAGACGTTTCGGTTCATGAAGTCATATACGTCTTAGCTCAACACCGCGAGTGGACTTCGTCAGTATGACGGTCGAAGTGTTACTAATTTGCCACGAATAGTACTACGAAGCAGTTGTGTGAATGAATTACGCAGCGCTTTTCAAAAAAAAAACAATTTTCAAAACAACGTACCGTTACTGCAGCAATTCTTCGTGGTTGCGTCACCCCTATTTTCCGCCCGTCTGATGACCAACCCGTTTCCATGAGGTACTGAAACAGAGCAATAGCTGCTAAACCACACTGTGTACTGCGCAAAAATGGAAATGCACAACACTGCAAATGTACTTATCCAAGGATGAGTCTATCGTGAATCCCTTCAGTTTCAACTTTCCAATTTAAAATTAGCAAAAAATCATGAAAAACAAGAGATTTTTGTAACAGCTTGTTTTTGAATAAACCACTTTGCATAGGTGCAGCTTTGCGCCTCTAAATAAGCAAATGCAGCTCTGAAATTTGCATTCTATTGGGACAATTATCATTAGTCGTAGTTATTACTACAATCAGGCAGTGTTCGAATGAAGTTTTAATAAATAGCACCGAGCACCAGACTAGCCGGTGGGATCTTGCGTTTTGTTCAATTCAGCCCATCGGACGATTGCCTATTAATGATTTTCACTGTCTTGTACTTTAGTCTATGCAAAAATAGTCCAAACATTAAAAAACAGTTAAAAACTTCACGCACCAGCGCATGAAAGCTAAATTCGGAACCTTGGAAGGTGAACATCCTTCCGTGATTCCCGAGTTAATAATTTTCCCCGCCAAAATTTTCAAGAGGCTGTAGGTGCTACCCGAGAGCGCGAGAACGCTGGATTTGAATGGGCAAGGTTGAGCGTGAGCAGGAGGTCATTACCCTAAAATTTCAGCCTCCTAGACTC